GTAATGAAATATTTTCAAGAAAACAACCAAGCTCAGAAAATACCAAGGACTCCATTGTCAGGAGTTTGGGAACTGACAGGCAGTGTAGAATGCATCTGTAAGTCTTTTGGACTACTTAAAATTTGAGCCTTTTGTCCTGAAAACGAACTGTTCTCTTCTGAATTACAATTTCCAAATGGAGAATACTTAGAATGCAGTCCAATTTAGAATGCTGAAAAAACAAAACAGTATTTAAAAAAGAAAGAAAGAAAGAAATCCTGACAACGATGCTTGTAACTTATGGTCCAATTAGGATTGAAGCCGAGGGGGATTTTCCCGTCCCCTAATATTCTTTGGAAGCAAATCAAACAGAGACTGTTTGAATTCCAGCAAATGTTAGCTTGTCATTTTTATCCATTGGTCCTATTAAGACAATGTCCTGGGAAATCATTTGGGAAGAATTCTTTGTCAGGGGAAAAAAATATGTCTTGTGAATGGAGTCAAAAGGGCTATTAGCATTCATATCAGGAGTGAGAAGGGCCAAGTCAATGGTAATAAATTGGTGCTCTGAAGGTAGAAGCACTGGGAAAACTTGAAATGGCTTTATAAGGATGAAGTGAAATCTTTAAAAGTTACACTTCAGCTTTCTAATACTTGACCAGAAAAAAGCTAGGGGTGGGAGGGAGAGATTTTCTGTTCCTCAATGATTTACTATAAGCATTTGCAGTGGGTTCCCTATTACTCAGTAAGATCTTAAATTCCATCTAAATGCAGCATTCATCTCCTTGACAGTTTCTGGTGAATTGCAGCTTCTGTTCTCTGTATGAATTATGCATGTTTGAAAGAAGCTACCAAATTTCAATTAGTGCATCTCAATTTTCTTCTTTAGACCAATTGGGCCCTGTTAACAAAAGGTCTGGTCCTTTATCTCATGGAACATCAAACTGTTTTAATCAATCTGAATTGAAATAAATATTTGAAGCATTAAACCACTCAATGCTTCCTTCCACCCCCTTTTAAGCCCCTTCTGCATTAACAACCTCAAATCTAAATATCAACAGAACACTGTTAAATTTATTACTTTTTTTATCCAATTTGGAAGTAGAATTGCAGAGCATTAATTGGTAGGCATATAAAAGATTCAACATGTTGCTTAAGCAGCCGAGAGGCAAGGAAGTTTAATTAAGTCATAACAGGCAATTTGTAACTAATTACAATTACTGGGCTTTTGCTTTTTAAAACAGGACTGAGTTACTGGCACAATATGCTGTGGATTCTTTTACATGCGATTTATTTTATCAGATGCTCAAACAGATAAAATATGTCCCCAAAGGGGTGGGGAAAATCTAGAGATTTAACTTGTGTACTGTCTTTTAAATACATGTGGGAGTTGAGTACAGTGAAATGAATTGAAAAACATTCATTGATTTGTGTACAATAATCAGAAGACAAAGAAAAACAGGTATCACTAATTCTCCTGGCTGAATCGGACTTGTAATATTATTCCTCTCTAGAGAAGAGAAAAAATATGATTTCACAAAACAGGATGGAAAAAATACTCCCTTGTGTTCAAATTTTTAACAGTGCAAATATATATGAAATTAAATACTATTGAATATAATTGAATATATGCCAAGGCAGCCGAGAGTCCAAGAAACACTTAGAGAGTGTCAAAGACTTGAATAAAGTTTGCTAGTCAAGAATAGTCATTTTTCATATAGGAGGAGAAAAAATTACAGTTTGTTGGCATTATCATATTAGTTGACTCTTTATTAATGTAAGTATGTTGCTGTTGTTATTATTATACCTTAAGGTATAATAATAAGGCCAGTCTTCAATCTTGGCTATGACTCAGACAAGTTCATGAAATTTTGTTGGCAATACTTCAGAAGGGATTTGACCTTGACTTCTTCCTAGAAGAAAAATGAATATCTCCAGGTCATCCAGCTGCCTTAAGGTGGGATTACAACTCCCAAATTCTCATTTTATAGTCCCATGTCTAGAAGTACTACACCAAACTGGCTCTCACACTTAAATTAACTTTGAGCCAATTTTGGTTTTGGCCAGTCTTTCCTATAGTTTTGCTTGGGCTCTGCTCATTCTTGGCATATGTCTCAAGTTAAATTATAACCTTCATTTCTCCCCATCACCCAAAATTATGTATCCTACTTTACGTTAACAGCAGTACAGCCTAAAATATTTCTGTAATGTATGAGTATCCATGGAGAATCCTTCTGGGGAGAATTAGAGAATTAGTTATCATTGTTTCTTGAGGTGTCATCTACAAATTCTCCTTCTATGTTACATCCCCAACTCCATTTTTCCAATCTCAACCTCAGCGTTGGCTGTTTGGATTACTTGCCTCTATATTCAATTCTGAAGATTTTTTTTAAAAAAAGAGCCCTAGTGATTTTTTTTTTTAAAAAATCCTACCTACGATCCATTTCAGCACGAAAATCTGCTTAATACGTTTAGACAATTTCTAAATATTTTAGGAAAGTAATTTAAGTCATTTTTCAACACTTCCTGTTTGACAAAGAGTTTTATCACCTATGACACAAACTTGAATCACTATTGCTGAAATACTCCAGTCTTGTCTTTTGGGACACCATAGCCCCAAAGCTTAACTAAATTATAAAGCATGCAAGTCAAAGGAATAATTGTGATATATAGCATGCATTTCTGGCAACATATTTTTGTGTTTTTTTTCCTAGAGTTCATAATGGAAATAGACTGTATTGTACTATTTTTCATATGGTACAGTCATATTAAATAAATCAGTGATAATGATGGTGAACAAAACAAAAAGATTAAATGCCAAAATGTTTGGAAAAGTGAATGAAAAATTAAACTTATTTCATTATTTGAATAGTTATTCGATAAACTGGCAGACATTATATAGATGTTTACACAATTTTGCTTTCTTCTGTTTGTTTGTTTTTTTCCATAAATTACTTCCCAAGGATGTATAAATTATTGTTGCAAGTCATATAACAAAGCTGTAAAATGAAGTATTTTTTTAAACTTGTAAAAATTATTTTAGAAAAGGATTGTGGAAACAAAACAGAGGGAAAAAAGGAGGGAGGGGGGGAAGGAAGGAAGAAAGGAGGGAGGGAGGGAGGGAGGGAGGGAAGGAAGGAAGGAAGGAAGGAAGGAAGGAAGGAAGGAAGGAAGGAAGGAAGGAAGGAAATGGGAATTTTTCTATTTCAAAAATAAAACTTTGGAGTAAAATTTAATACAATAATTCTGCTTGGTCCATGAGTACTGAAAGTTTGCACTTTCAATATTTATTTTTGAAGCAACTACCAAAAATGGCAAGAGGAACAGCTTTTATTGCTCCTCTTCTGGTAGCTGTTAAGATAGGAGGAAGAGAGAGAGAGAAGGAAGAAAATTAGTCAGCATATCCACTGACTGGAAAAGGCAATTAGATCAGCCCTGTCCACAAATATAATACGAGCAAATGGGAGAGATGGAGTTGGCATTCTACATGCTATCGCCCCAATCTAAGATGGGTGACATTTCTTAGCAGCATGTGATACACTCTACTACTTCCTTACTCCACTGAAATATCCCGTAGGATATCACTACTGACAGTCCTTGACTTATGACAACAATTGAGCTCAAAATTTCTGGTACTATGTGAGACATTTGTCAAGTGAGTTTTGCCCCTGTTTTGCCCCATTTTATGACCTTTCTTGCCACAATTGTTAAGTGAATCACTGCAGTTGTTATGTTAGTAACATGGTTATTAAATGATCCTGGCTTACCCATTGATTTTGCTTGTCAGAAGGTTACAAAATGAGATCACATGATCTCATGTGACACTGCAATTGTCATAAATATGAATCAGTTGCCAAGGATCCAAATTTTGATCATTATGTGATCATGAGGATGCCGCAATGTGAAAAACGGTCCTAAATCACTTTTTTTCAGTGCTGTTGTAACTTTGAATGGTCACTAAATGAACTGTTGTAAGTGGAGGACTAGCTGTAATACAGCAGCCTGACCTTATTCCCCATCACTCTAACTCTCTGTTACCTTCCATGCTATATCAAAGTTTGGCCAAATGGACCTAGAGATGGATGTTGATATATATTTCTATGTATTGTACAGACAGAATTTTAATAAGCCTTAGAAAGTTCTATTATAACAATAGCATTAGCAATAGCACTTAGACTTATATACTGCTTCTCAGTGCTTTACAGTCCTCTCTAAGTGGTTTACAGAGTCAGCATATTGTCCCCAACAATTTGGGTCCTCATTTTATCCACCTCAGAAGGATGGAAGGCTGAATCAACCTTGAGCCAGGTGAGAGTCGAACTGCCAAATTGCAGTCAGCCAGCAGTCAGCAGAAGTAGCCTGCAGTACTGTATTCTAACCACTGCACCCCACGTCTTATTATCAGGATGCAAACAAATTCCAAAGATCAAATTTTCTAAATTTCCAAATAAAAATTTCTCTATCATAGAGAAACATATCATCAATATGAGGGAGAGGGGAACCCAGTTCACACAGCTGTAGAAAACTAGGACTTTGAAAACTCATTTGTAGGCAAGGCGGAATGTGTGTACAATAAGAGGTTAACAAAATATTTAGCTTGGATTTAGGTGCTTACATGTCTGCCCTGGACACAGCTGAAGTGAGAGCCACAGCGAAAGAACCGACCACCACATGTTGTGAAATATCTCTGAGAAATAGAGGCTAAAAGCCACAAAGGTCTCTTAGGGTAATAAAAACCCCAGAACTCAAAAATCTAGGTCAGATGACTTTTAAAATGGTGTGAAGATGGCCAATTTGTGATTTTCAGTTCTTAAAAGATGGATTTTGTAAGGTTACGACACTGAATGGCTTCATATATATTAACTGGATTATTCCAAAGGGTGCTTTGCAAACCTTTTAGATCTCGGTATCACTTGCATTTTTTCATATTATTATTCATAAATTATTTCATATATTACAGAAAAATGGGGGTAGGGGGGGCTTACTACTGGAAGAGGAGGCAATTTTATATGTTTCCTCACTTGGTTCCTGTGTGCTACCTTCACTTCTTTTCCAGAGAGCACCAGAAATCTGCAAGAGGAATTTCAAGAGTATTTAGGGAACTGCTAAAATAAAGGGAAATTAATTATAGCTATCTCTGATTTCCACTTGATGGGTTATTCAATGAATCCCATAGTCAAAAGTCAAGTAAATAGATAGTTGGGGTACTCTAGACCCAATGTTTCTCAACTTTAGCAATTCTAAAAAGGCTAATCTTCAACTCACATAATTCCCCAGCCATCATATGTGTGTGTGTGTTCATTGAAGAATTTATGAGTTTAAGTGTAAAACAATGGAGACTAATGCACTAAACTAAAACCAAACATAAGAGGAAGTAATCCTATACCCATCATAATTACGTTTTGATCTTCTCTGCTCTTAATAAAAATAAGCAGAACAGCCAACATAATATCTTAATATGATCGCATGAGATATTCCTCTCAATGATCATGCCTCCATAGGACACAGGGAAGATTGACTGTACAGCAGAGATCAATCAATTATTCACTGGCTGTATCTAACTCTTCATGGTTCTATTTTTCAACTCTTGGATGGATTTCAGAGTGTACTGCTGAGATTTCAATTTGTATGATATTAAGAAGAGACAGTCTGGTATGGTGGTTAAAGCAAAAGGCTAATAACCAGGAGACTCTGAATCCAATCCTATTTTAGGCACAAAGCCAATGGGATGACCATGGGCCAGTCACTCTCTTTCAGCCCTAGGAAGGAAGGAAGGAAGGAAGGAAGGAAGGAAGGAAGGAAGGAAGGAAGGAAGGGCAAACCACCTCCAAAAATGCTGTCAAGAAAACTGCAGGATAGTGTTGGAAGAAATGTCCATCTGAGTTCAGTTCCAAGTGGGGAGAAAGACACTGGACACATGGTGACTGCTTGAAAAGATGGTTTAATGGTGGACAGAACCACATGGTTTTGAGGTCCTGGGCAAAAAGGCACATGGATGAGAGAGAGAGAGAGAGAGATTTATACCCTCTGTTGGGCTTTGAATTTGAGCTTGTATTCTGATTGATTGTCAGACTCCCATGGGGCCATGCAGGGGTAACTTTGTAGGTTGTCTTTTGAGTCCCAGGTTTGGTTAAGCCTTCCTGGGTGATGCAATCTCCCCAGGTGCCATGTGGTGAATTCTGTTGTTAGATGGGTAGAGGGCTAATCCTATCTTTGTTGGATCTTGGGTGAGGACATTTGCTTATGAATAGACCTAGCTATATCTTTATCTCTTAAGTGCTGACATCTGCTGTGTGGGCTATTGAGGAGGGTGGGAGCTATTAAGAGTGAGTCTGCTTCCTGCCTAAAAAACATGTTTCTCCATTTCTCATCTAGGGAAATATAATATTCTGCCTTTTTAATATTTCCTAGAATATTTCATTCTTTTAGGAGAGGGGTGGGTGCTAACTTCCTACAGTAATGGAGGTAATGACCAAGTAGTGATCCAGGAATCAAGATTGATTCAAACATATGCACAACACACACACACACACAAACACATAGATAGAAATAGGGTAGAAGATCTTAAGAAGGATCCTTCCATGAAATCAGAAAAAAATATTAATGTGTGTCCTCTGTTCACCAAAGATTTCTTACTCTTGCATAAGAATGGGCTAGTGATGAATGTGTATAAGAATATGTAACAGGAGTAGGATTTTGATTATCCAGTTACAGCCATAAACTTGACTTTTTAAAATATATTTCCCACCCTCCAGATGCTCTCACTAATGCAATACAGGTAGTCCTTGACCTACCACAGTTCATTTAGTGACCATTTAAAGTTACAATAGCACTGAAAAAGTGACTAATGACCATTTTTCACAGTTACAATTTTTTTTGCAACATCTGCATGGTCATGTGATCAGAATCCAAATGCTTGGCAACAGATTCATATTTATGACCATTGCAGGGTCCCAGGGTACTGTGATCCCCTTTCTGACAAGCAAAGTAAATAGGAAAGCTAGATTCACTTAACAACTGACTTACTAATTTAACACTGCAGTGATTCACTTAACAACTGTGGCAAGAAAGGTTGTAAAATGGGGAAATCTCACTGAACAAATGTCTAACTAACAACAGAAATTTTGGGCTCAATTGTTGTCGTAAGTCGAGGACTACCTGTACTGAATATTTTATTTTATTTTAATGAATTATTTGAGCCCCCAAACCAGAATACAGCACCATAAGAAAATAACGCAAATGCAGAAGACTTACTGAAGTAAATCTCTTGACAATTTATAATAATAACATGATGCTTTTCAAAACCAATGGATATGTCTCATTTTTCCTTTGTTTTCTTTTTTCTGTGGAGGTTCAGTGGAATTTCCAGATGGAAAGTCAAGTTAGTCTGTTGTAGCAAAAACAGCCTTTCAGTACCTTTATAATATAATAAATGCAGACAATAAATCTGCTAGTCTTAAAATTGCTACAAGTCCCTTTAATGTTTTGATAGGGATGAAACTGATTTAGAAGTTAAGAGTGGTACAATGGTTTTTCTAATACTTTTTGCAAATGTTTGAACTGGTTAATGGAAACTGGGATATAAATCTGAAAAATACATAAATAATGGATCCTAGAAAAACATTACACTTTATTTCAGTTTATAGTCAAGAGCATTTGAAACTAAAACTTTTTCTTCTCCATGTCTCTGTCTCTGTCTCTGTCTCTGTCTCTGTCTCTCTCTCTCTCTCTCTCTCTCTCTCTCTCACACACACACACACACACACACACACACACACACACACACACACAGTTTTTTCTTCCTAATTTATCTTAATTGACTCAGAAAATAGAGCCAGGACTTTGGATGGAAACATGTAATTACTTCTTCCAGCAAAACCATTCAAATCAAGTGAATAGAATGAACAAAGGATTATCTGTAGCATCTTTTGTGCTGGCCAAATCCTAAGTCATTCCTATTGTCTAAATAATGACAAGTCATTAGTCAAGGACATTCCTCAACAACCCAACACTGTTCTCCCAGTTCACACAAATACAGGACAAATTGGACACAGCCAAAGCTAACAGGTAGATTATTGAAGCTTGAGGAGTTAATGAAAAGGGGATAAAGAAATGGCCTACCTTACATTTAAAAGACTTTAGGAGAGGAATAAAGTCACAGCAGAATACTGTGTCTGTCCATCTGCAAGGCCAAGCCTGATTAATATTTAATCCTAGGAAATGTTAAGACTCTGAGTTAAACTTGGAAATAAAAGTTATTTTTGAAATAAGGTATCAGGATATATTTCCATGCTGCTGCCAATAAAATTTCATCAACGTATCCATGTATTTACTAGGAGCCAAGTGTACCTCAAGAATGTCTACATTTTAGTGGTGTAAAAAGAGAGTGTTTATCTTATACGTTAATAGTGTTCATTCTGAGTGTTATAAATTGCTTTTGAATAATACTTTGGGACTGAAAAATGTATTTCAAAAGTGGATATTCTGTATCTGATACCATTTCGTTCTGTATTTGCTGGGATTCAGACGAGACAGAAGATAAATATACAATTTAAATATTACAGAAGATAAATATACAATCAAATAAATGATTCACTTCCAAATACAGGTAGTACTCGAGTTACGATCGTAATTGAGCCTAGAATTATAGTTGTCAATCTTGGCCATCATTAGGCCAAGGGACCATGGGACCCTGTCTCATTTTATGACTTTCACAGCTGTTTTTAAGCAAAGGTCACAGTTGTTAAATGAACCCATTTTCCCCAGTGAGCATTTTTTGCTGGACACTGGAAGTAAACTCCAGAAACTCTCTCTCAAAAAAACCTCCCACCGGCCAATACGGTCTCACAGAGAGGGCCTCCTCAGGGTGCCGTCGGTCAAGCAATGTCGGCTGGCGGCCCCCAGGGGGAGAGCCTTCTCTGTGGGAGCACCCGCCCTCTGGAACGAGCTACCTCACAGAATACGGCTGATTCCAGATCTCCCCACTTTCCATAAGGCCCTGAAGACGTTTTTATTTCAGCAAGCCGGCCTGGCCTGAATAGGTTTTATGGGTTAGTTTTTTAATTGTATTGCTAGGGGTTTTAAATTGGGGCGGCCGTTTAATTTAATTTATTTTTAATTATTTTAACTTTTATATTGTATGTTATTTTAATTCTCGGCTGTTCACCGCCCTGGTCCCTTCGGGGAGAAGGGCGTGATATAAATTTAATAAATAAATAAATAAATAAATAAATAAATAAATAAATAAATAAATAAATAAATAAATATTAATCCTACATTGGATAATCAGAGACTATATATTTTAAGACAATAATTTAAAACTGGCCATCAGAGTTTGACAAAGACCTAGTCAAAACCAACTAATGAGTACTGTTTGTCTTTTTTTCTTTTTTTTACGGAAAGGGAATTATGAGTCTAAGAGAGAAACAGCTCATTTGCTGAATTCATTATTTTTATTTTTTGAGTTTTCTTTTCATGAGTCAGAAGCACTCCAACCTCTCCAGGTTATGTGAAGATCTACCACGGATGATCAACACTTTGGATTTGAAAATGAAAAGGCCATTGTCTGCCATTGCCTTCTGAAGAAACTGCATCTTTTCCTAGGTTCACATAAAGCATCACACTATGGCCATATCCTTATTTCAAATACATACGTTCCTACATAACCTCTGTGAGAACCCTAGAAAACACATAGGTTCTTTAAGGACATGCCAGTAGTTGCAATATGCCAACACGTCCCTTTTGAATCATATTATCTGAATCTAAAGCACTTCTTCCTTTCCCTTCAATTTACTTTCTACCTGTATGTTCTCTATGTATCGGCCTATCATTTTTAGCCAAGTTGTCAAACAAGGTGCGTTGAATATAGGCATGGTTTATTATAATTTGGGATTTGTAAATTGATGGGTGCAAAACAAAGCTCAAAACAGTTTATTTCATGAGCTTCACAAATTGGATGCCAAATGTTAAAAGATTGTGCATGTTTATTAGAAAAGTGTCCCATCTGAATAGCTATAATATTATATTTCTGCTGTTGTTATACTGTATATATCTCATATACCACACTGGAATAAATTTATTAATATTAATTTTGCAGGTAGGCAAAAACTAACTGGATTCGCTTAACAATTGGATGATTCATTTAACAACTACATTGAGTCATATAATGGCCATGGCAAAAAAAGATTATAAGTGTGCTTACAAGTATGATTGGGTGTGCTTGATTCACTTAACATCTGCCTTGCTTAATAATGGAAATTCTGGTCCCATTTATGGCCATTAGTTAAGGAGTACCTACATTCACAACTGGATCTATTTTATTACAAATGTGTGTGGGGGGGGAGGGGGAAACATGCCTATTTTGTATATAGTCTGCAGTTGGAGCAAGGATAATAAATACAGGTATTTCTTGCCATGGAATAAAAGTGCAACAGAGTTCAGGAATTTCTCCAATAATAATTTTCCTTGATAGGATGCAAAGTCAGAATTCACTAGGAGAATTCAGAACTCACTAGAAGGATGCTGGGAATCTCATCATCTTTCAGGCCTTTCATTTTCTCTCTTTCTACAATTTTGAAGATCTTTTGATTATTTTATCCATGACAGCCAAGCACCAGAGAGAAGCAAAACTGGAACACCAGAAACTACCAATCTGCCTGTTGCCCAAGGCAGCATAGAATTTCCTTCTTCCATTCATATCTTTCTAACAGTGAATAAAAATGTGTGTGTCTCTATGTGTGTCTGTGTGTTTTCCCAGCACTCCCTGAATGTCCACTGCTAAAGTGATGTTATTTGCCCTAAAATTTTGTACATGCAGCAGAAAGAAAAACAAGGGAAGAGATTTTTGGGGAAAAAACACATCTGATTTTGAATATTCTATCAAGTGTGACATATACTAATTAGATGGCATGAAGGTTATGCTGAAAGATTTTTTTCCCTATATTTATTTATAAGTACTACAAAACCCGGCTATATTTTGGATGTTTTCTTTCATTGCCTGCCTTCTTCCCATTTCCTTTTTGTTTAATAAATCTGAGATTTGATGATACTATTTCTCAAGGTCTTCCCTTCCTTTCCCTTCTCTTCCGTTCCCTCCCCTCTTCCCTTCCTTCCCCTTCATTTTCTTTTTCCCTTTCCCTTCCCTTCTCTTCCTTTCCCTTCCCTCTCCCTTCCTTCCCCTTCTCTTCCCTCCCCTCCCCCATCTCGTGTCTTCCCTTTCCCATGTGTCTTATAGAATACATGAGTAATCTATTGCTTTCTCTGGCAGAGGATAATTGGGATAGGAAGATGGGGAGTTGGTTAAATTTATAAATAACACAATTTGTTTTACAGGAAATTAATTTTAATTTAATTTAATTAATATCTCTGTTCTGACTCTATATTTTTTTTAAACTTAAAGTACAGGAAGGTTCTGGAAAGACTAACCAATATACAGGCATACACAGCCAATATATTACATTCAGACAATTGTTGGGAGAAAGGGGGGAGCTCTCCGGGACTGGTTTTGCCTGAAGCTGTAAACACCAAGTGTGGAAATAGAATGCTGTATAAAACAATGCTTCAATTCATTTCTGTCTATCCATGCTGCTGGAACTGGGCTGCACAACTCCATGAGATCACTAGATGGCAGTTAAAAGATACAGCAGCTCTAACTCTTTGCTGCCATCTAGTGAGTGTTTGTAGACCACATTTTGTAGCCCTAATACTTATTTTTGTGTTTGGGCATTGGGGGAAAATTATCTTAAATTCAGTTTTTCTTTCATTTGTATAAATATGGAGTATTTCAGAGGGGAGTTTGAGCGCTTGGAGACTGTGTAGATTCCTTGGACTAAATAGTTCAGCTCAAGTATAGTTAGTGAGATGATCTTATATTAGAGTCTCCAACGTTAGAGGGGTAATAAATGCTTTTTAATGTTTCTATCTTGCAAAGATTGCTCCATAGAATACAACATAGACAAAATAATGCTAAACATCTTCTAAATTCTAAAACAAAATACTCCAATCAGAGGTGCATTTGAGATTTTAAAGACCTCATGTTCAGTCAAGATTTGTTGCTGAAAATATCAAGATGGAATTTGTAACCCGAAACATACATTATCTCTTAAAGTTAAGAAAATACTGATGTATCTAGCTGTTATTGCTTTCTGTCTGAGCAGTACTACAAATGGAATGTGATTGACATAAAATATTTTCAGAATATTTTTCATATTTTCAAAGTGAACCTAGCTGGGGCTTCTTGACTTGGCCAAGACATTTTGGTACATTCATTTTTTTAAACATATGGTCGGGAAGTCACAGATTTCCCAGTGAGTATTAATTCTGTAGCTCACATATGCAATCACACCGAAATACAGGTTTCAGAGGTGGGAGAAGCACGTGACAAAAACCCTATGTTGTGATATTGTGCTCATTTCATTGGATACATGAAGTGTCGAAACTGGACGGATTTAGATATGAATTGAAAGTGATGTGAAACTGGCAGGGATAATGGAGGGGAACACAGATTGATTAGAAGCAGAAGATGGTTACATACTGTAGGAAGTTAGCACCCACCCCTTTCCTAGAAGAATGAAATATTTTTTAGGAAATATTAAAAAAAGCAGAATATTATATTTCCCTGGATGAGAAATGGATAAGCATGTTTTGAAGCAGCTCCCATCTTCCTGCCCCCACCCTTTGTCAATGGGCCATTAAGGCCTGGGCCAGTCTATTCTACATAACAAAGATCTACCTCCTTCAGGCACAGCCATAGTAGGAATTGTCAAAGATCCAACAAAGATAGGATTAGCCCTCTACACAATAGCAGCAGAAACTCACCACATGTGGCCTGGGAAGCACATGTGACCATCAGCCAGCAAGGCTAACTAAGACCCTCATCCCCTGGGAGTCTGACAACCAATCAGGATACTCTTTCGGGGCCCCAAGAAATGCAAAACCCGAGGATTTATTGTATCTGCCCCTTTTCTGTTCAGGAACTCAAGCCATGTGATCCTGTCCACCATTAAACCATCTTTCCAAGCAGTCTCCATGTTTCCAGTGTATTTTTCCCCACTTGGACCAGAACCCAGAAGATATTTCTTCCAACAATACCAAACAGACTACAAGTATCTTTATCATTTAACAATTGTAATGTGTTTTCAAATTAGTTTGTTGAGACCTTCGGAAATAACCTAAAGCTACTCAGTGCATGTGCTTCAAATTACTGTCCCC